GATTGTTGCAAAAAGCAATCAAGTGGTCACACATGGTGTAACAAAGCAAAAGCCAATGTGAAACGATATGAAGATTAACCATACTTATTAAGCATAGACGGAAGTTTAACACAGCTGATCTATTGAAGTTGAATCCTCTATACATTGGACGGAACTTAAGATTTAAGATTAGAACATCAATTCAACTCATCTAATATTCACTTTCTTGTTTGACTTTGGCTTTTCTTTTAATGCAGGACTTCAGAGTGCTCTTTCCAAGTTGGACCGATACTTGTGGTTAACGAGCCTTTCACGGTAAATTTCTGTTGCAATAGCATGAGAGCCAGCATTTTTCTGAATTTATTTTAAGAATAATGTCTTTTTAACAACTGCGGGATCTTAACGTCTAACTATCACCGAATTAGACTCCAACCATGAAAATCAGAAGGGACAAGGTTTTGTCTCAATTCAAAAAGGAAATAGACAATTTATACAAGTGAATTACCTAATATGGTCTCAGTAAACTAGTAAATGTGCAAATATGGCTGGTCAATTGCTTACGCAGTCTTTACAATGTTACAATACTCTTTTTCTTGCTAAATTCCTTCATTGTAATATTCCTTATTGTAATAATACAGTGTTGGACTGGTTATATACCATATTGTTCTAATGTTGTTATATAAATCTACTTCTTGGAAGAGAGTGCTTGTGGGGAGCTATCATACCTTACAAAGGCAATCAGTAGTAGCAGCTAGATTGTGAAATGGACTGTGGTGACATGGGGGCGAAGATAGGAGAGGGGTGGTGTTTGTCTTGCTTTTGCCATAGTGGTTCCCTAGTGGGAGGCTCGCATGATGGACAACTGTGTAGTACTTGTGCCTCACAGTGTCCTTAAATACTATCTACAGAGAACGCACCATTGGAAAAGAAGATACGTGAAGCATAATACATCCACAAAAGCTATAGCTCCGCATAATTCTCACCTCCCTGATAAACGAACACTGGATATCTAATTCTGATATCAGCCGAACTGATGTTGGGAGATGTGATCACTTTTTCCAAAAATTATAGCTGATCATAGGAAAGTCTAAACCGTACCTTTTAACGCTCAAGACCGAGTTTAGGAATTCACCCCAAGCATTATTTGTTAGACATAGCAATCTCATTTACTGATTCCTACAATGGTGTAGTATTTGGCCCTCATTCTGTGTTATTTGTGTAAATTTCTCTAGGTAATTTCCTCACTTTACATCTATGCAACGTTTGGCACACCGGATTAGGTCGTGTGAAGAATTTAGTACAAAATTTGATGGATATTAATAAGTGGATGGTATTATGATGGATTGATGTGGACAGTATTGTTCTATGATGAGATGGTTTCTGTTGGTTTGAAGCCAAATGAAGTGACGTGTGGTCATGTTGGCTTAGTGAACAAAGGTCACCAACTTTTCAAATCTATGGTTGAGGAATATGGATTAAACCCATCTCTTCAGCATTATACGTGCTTATTGGATCTTTATATTAGATCAGGACACCTTGAAGAGGCTGAGAACATCCTTAACTCAATGTCCTTCAAGCCTGGTGAAGCCATATGCGCTTCTTTGTTGAGCTCTTCTAGGCGAGTTGGGAAAAGTGAAATGGGAGTTAGAGTCGCAAATCATCTGCTGGAACTCGGACCATAAGATCTATCTGCGTGTGTGCTATCTAATATTTATGATGGTGCTTCTATGTTGGAGAAATATCGAAATTGAGGAAAGTTATGGTTACCATGGAACAGGAAAAGAAACCTGGTTACAGTTGCGTTAACTTGTCAAAGGATAACCAAGTCTATGCTGGGGAGAAAACACATCCTATGGAGGATGAGAGTTTTGAACTTCTTGAAGGAGTTGGATGCCGAGATGATGAGAAAAGATTATGTACCCAACACAAGTTCAGTTTTGCATGATATGGGACAGCAAGAGAAGGAAAGACAGCTTTTTTGGCACTGTGATAGATTCGCTGTTGCTTACGGGCTGCTTAAGGGCTTGCTTGGGAGTTTCGGACTATCGGTTTTGGGCAGTTTTTACAGTTTTTAAAGTATCAATTATGGGCATTTATGAAGAATCCAATTTTGGTTGGATTTTAACAGTAATTTTTAGAAGGGAAAAATTCAGTTACCAGAT